TATGTAAAGTATGAGTTAGATAACCTGGGGAGAAAGAATAAGGTCTGGAGATATATAATGAGAGGACAGACTTTGAAAATACTATATTTTAGAATATAAGAAAAAAAGGCAGACACAAATCAACAGTTACATTTACCTTTCAGATAATTAGGAAGACAAGCCTGTGCATTTGTCTTATATATCTTTGATAAAGATCATTCTTTTCCCTCTTTGAAGAAAAATATTTAACTAAATTCTATAACTGCAATCTTTTGCAATGCTATGACACATAAGAGGTGATTAATTAACAAACAATGAATAATGACCCAGTAAAAAAAATCATCATTCCTACATGTCATAAGACACCGAGTGGCACGAGGACACTGACCAATGCACTGATGGAAGAGGCAGCCTGATGTCAGGACTTTCCTATAAATCCTTATACCCTAGGACTTCAAAAGTGTGAAAAACAGAACTTAAGAAGGAAAGGAAGCAGATTTGAGCACTTACTTGGTCACAGATCATAACAGCTCAATTAAGGAAGTAAACATTTTGTTGTTCTAAAGGTGACAGGGATTTCCCCTCACCAAATGTTTCCCCTTCCATGGTACCAGCAATGGGCTTGAGCTATTTTTTAATCTAAAATTCACACATGGCTTCTTTTTATTTCAGTACCATGCATAGTAGAGTGTACTAACCCTACGTGACAGGATAGTAGAAGTGGAAGGACCTTCTGCATTTGTGGGATTTTAAATGATGTCATAGTCCCTCTAGAATCTCATTACTTCAAGAAAGGAAGTCTTCTGAGATCAGAGAGTGATTAAACACTTATTACACAACAGTGCAGTAAGGAAGATATTCCTTAAAGAGTATTTTCATCCCTCCTGACCATCTCAACTTCTCCTCTGTGTAAATGTCTCATTGGACCACCTATTCCCTAGGAACTCTGCAAGTTGCAAAATAAAAATATATTATTTTTCAAATTTACATCATTCCATTGTTTCTCATGGTCTCTTATTTCCTGTTGATTTTAACTCATTATCAGATCATAGCAGTTCTAGAACAGGCTATTAAAATTTAAGATGGCTAACTATAGACTTGGCTCCACTTAGGTTTCCTTTCAATGTAACACTCAGTCCTGAAAGCATACATAAAAGCAGCTTTATACAGACTGAGAAGGCTGTATTTATATATTTAGGGATACATATGAATACACATATGCACATACATATGCATATTTGCATGCAATAATAATGATAAAAGAGGCTATGGACTTGAAGATAGATTATGGGAAGATTTGGGAAAGGAGAAATAATATAACTATAATCTCAAAAGATTAAAAAAATTAAGGAGGTGAAGAGAATACTTAGTTATACTAAATCACTAGGAAGAACATTTACATAGAAATAATTAATATGAAATAACTCCCATTTGTTATCCATCATTCTACTTAAATCATGCACCAGCATCATGCAAATGGTTCCAATCAAAGAGCATCATGTTGTCCCAGAGGACCATCATGAGACTATACATACTTTCTTTTTTTCTCAGTTTAAATTTAGATAAGAAACAAGGTTGCTTCACAAGTCAGGTCCAGGTCCCTCTCCCTTTCCCTCCCCTCCTCCCATGCCCTCCCCCCCAACCGCCCCCCCCGTTATCCCCTCATTCCCCCAGGGAGGGTGAGGCCCTCCATGGGGGTGTCCATAGTCTGTCATTTCATACAGGGCAGGGCCTAGACCCACCCCCAAGAGTTCAGGGTGAGAGTGCACCTCCCATTGTTGGATGGGAGTCCAAAGTCCGTGTGTATACTTGGGATGGGTACTGATCTGCTGCCCAAGGCTCAATAGATTCCCTAGGCCTCCTCACTGACACCCACATTCAGGGGGTATTGATCAGTCCCATGCTGGCTTCCCAGGCTGATGCCTGGGATTCAAGAGTTAACCTTTGTCAGGTCAGCTGATTCTGGGGGTTAAACCAGCCCAGTCTTAATCCCTTTGGTCATCAGTCCTCCCTCTCTGTTACTGGCTTTCTTGAGTTCAGCTCAGTACTTAACCAAGGGAGTCTGCCTCTTCTTCCATCAGCCACTGAATGAAGTTTCTGTTTCCCAGACTCTCTGGCCATGGAATTGTAGGCTGGCACTCTCCAGATCTATGTCAAAAATCCATATATGAGAGAGTGCATGCCATGTTTCTCTTTTTTGTGACTGGGTTACCTCACTCAGGATAGTTTCTTCTAGTGTCATCCATTTGCCTGCAAATCTCATGATTCCATTATTTTTTCTGCTGAATAGTACTCCATTGTGTAAATGTACCACATTTTCTCTATCCACTCTTCAATTGAGGGACATCTAGGTTGCTTCCAAGTTCTGGCTATCACAAATAAAGCTGCTATGAACATAGTGGAACAGGCCTCTTTGTTGTATGAATGGGCATCTTTTGGATATATGCCTAAGAGTGGAGTTGCTGGGTCTTGTGGTAGGTTTATTCCCATTTTTCTGAAGAATCTCCATACTGATTTCCAAAGTGGCTGAACCAGTTGGCACTCCCACCAGCAATGGAGGAGTGCCCCCCTTTCACCACATCCCCTCGAGCATAAATTGTCTTTGGTGTTTTTGATTTTAGCCATTCTGACAGGAGTGAGATGGTATCTCAGAGTTGTTTTGATTTGCATTTTCCGGATGGCTAAGGATGTTGAGCACTTTCTCAAGTGCCTCTCAGCCATTTTAGACTCCTCTATTGAAAATTCTCTATTTAGTCCTGCATCCCAATTTTTAATTGGATCCTTTGATGTTTTGGAGACTTGCTTCTTGAGTTCTTTGTAAATTTTGGAGATCAACCCTCTGTCAGATACGTTCTATTGCCTAGTGATGCCCTAGCTTGCAGTAATTCTGATATAAATGAGACTACTGTACCACTTGTCCTGCTGTTGGCTTACAAATTTACCATACTATACTTTCTGTCAGTGTTTTATGGTGTAGTCATTTTATTTTGTAAAAAGAAACTTACTGTAAGACAATGTTATGCTAGAAGTAGCTCATTCATCCTGTGTTATGAATCTCCTGAGATTGCATCCATGTGGGTTGAGAGATATGTAAACTATCTGGAATTATGTGCCAAACCCTGAAGAAATTGACAACATGATTTAGAGTAAGTCTTTGTGGCAATGTTTGGCTTTCTTTAAACACTTTCTTAGCCAGATATTTCCTTGTCTCTGTAACAGTTTGGTCATTGAATATGCTCTCCCCTGACAGGTAATTTCTAAGAGTTATATTTTTTCAGTCATGTAACAATAAAGCCAGTGTGTACACTATCCCTTTGCATAATAAAGCCCAATAATACATATTTGGGATTCGGGAGACACTTATTAAATATTTGATGTGAAAAAAACTTATTAAATATTTGATCATTCAAAAAAGGAACTTACCCATTTGGTTTAAACATATTAAAAATGAATATACTATATAAAATGCATTTATGCTTCAGATTCATGGTTTCCATGTAACCCTCAGCTAACCAGAGTAATATGTGTGACCCCCTGATTCAGCAGTTCCAAGAAACTGTCACATCTTTCATTCTGCTAGACCAGAGGATGAATTCTATTGTCCTCATCATATTTGGTTTTATCTGTCCAGGCCTTCAAATTTGCATGTATGAGAATGATTTCTTCACACGAGGAAGAGGACCATCACTTCTTAGAATTATTTTCACAAGTTTAAAGCCTATGTTTCTATCATCAATAAAAGAGCCCTTTCTGTGCTTTACATTTTAATTTGCTGTTTATTTACATCAGTATATATGGATATAATTTAAGATAAAATTTGATCTACCATATAATTAAAAACTTAACGGAATAATTTTCACAAATTTCACTAATTTAAGAACCTACATCTTAGAAAGGAAATTTTGTCAAAAGAAACATGTTACATATAGCAAATTCAGACTGAGTCTTTTGGTCACATAATATGTTTTTTGCATAGGTTCTACACACTGGCATGATGGTGCTCAAATAGCTAGTTCTGGGCTCTTATTTCTATAAGTGCATGTGTTGTGAAGACATTTTCCTCAAGCTGATTTTTCATAAGCCACGCAGTCTCCCATTGACAACTGTGGAGCATGATGCCTTCAGGCTTATGGTCACAAAAGTTTACTCATTCTTTTACCCTCACTATTCAGCCAGTTTTCCTTTGGCCTCACTGTCTCTTCTGAGTTCACTGAAGGGATTCCTCCAACTCAACTCTAAACAGTTTCTTTCCTACAAAGTTCATACTTTTTCTGCATCATCTACCTGCTTTTTCTTTTGGTGATGTCTGATTTTGTGCTCATGTGTGCATGGTCTTAGAGAGGATCATTTAAGAAAGGTCCTTAGAAAGAATCATTTTAAAAAAACTATTGTTATTTTGTATTTCTAGTATTTCAGCATAAATTGATTGATTTCTACAAATAAAAACAATGATTCTTGGAAAAAAAAGAATCATTTTAATCTACCACGTAAGTCTTAATGATGCTCAGCGCTAAGAGGCAAGAACTTAGGTCTCAGTTTCTTCTCTTCGATGATATTCCCCTTCTCCCTGCATGCCTTTCTTGCCTAGTCTCTTAGATCATGAATGCATGTTATAAAGGAAAATAACGTGTCACAATTTTTAGTCTTAAGAATTCCTTGCGTTTCTATCACTCAAGTCATTCTTGGTTTGTAATTTGTTCATATATATTTTCTGTGCACCGGAAGTGTTATTTGGGTTATTTGGGATATAAAAACAAGGAAAGGTGTGATATGGTACATATGACTTGGGTAGGATGAGAAAAATCTGCTGTATACTTTATGCTTTCTTCATCATTGGCCACAGTATTAATGCAGTCCTATTCTAGTGATCCCCTTAGTGGTTTGCTTCTCCCACAGTTATCAGACAATAGGACTTCATCCTTTCTTTGTCTAGTTAAGCGTGAAGTTACTCATCAATTGACATTTGCCTGAGTTTATTTTTTTAAAGGAGCAAGACTCCATCTTTTCTTCTTTTTATTTTTTCACTTACTTTCCATACTGACAGTAGTTTCCACTCCTTCCTCTCTTCCCATTCCCCTGCCACTTCCCATTTACCCACTCCCCATCTCTCTACCACTAACTCACTTCCAAAGGGGGTAGGCCTCCCATGGGCTTGATCACAGTATGGCACATCAAATTGAGGCAGGACAAAGCTCTTTCCATTGTGTCATAGATTGTGGTTGTGTGGGCATCCTGAGAGCACTGAGGATGGCTTGATGTGGACTAAACAAATAGTACGAGATTTCCAGAAACCCCTTTGGGCCCTTGTTCATTTGAGAGAGTGCGAAGAAGCTTAAGATCAGTTAAGGACCAGGCAAAAGTTGTCCTACTTTCCAGGAGCTCTTGCCAAAGTTGCTTCAGGGTCTTCAAGTAGATAGGGTTGCTGGATTAATGCGGTGGGTTCTATGACTATGGTCTGCTTCTTATGCAAGCATGCAGAAAATAACTGTCTCTCTGTGCTCATTGTCTTTTGTTACCTACTTTCCCATGTTCTTCTCTTTCCTTAATCATTGTTAGAATGAACAACACAGCCGCTGTATTCCCCCTGCATATAATCAAGTTGTTAATAAATTCAGCCACAAAAATAGTACCTTCTTTGATTGACTATCAGGTTTCTCATTTGTAGTTCATTTTAGCTGAAAACAGAATTTTAAAAGAATACTGGAAGATAAACTAAAGTCAGCTCCTCAAGTCCTGTTTTTTATGTAGTGCCATTTCGGGTCAATGTCACAGGATCATTGAAATACAAATTTCTCTCAAACTTCAGTAGCCCTTAGTTGAATAAATTCGTAGCAGAGCTAATGCAAATATTTTATTGAACTATCATAGCATCAAACATGGAAAAACACCAGGGAGAAGAAAAAGAAGAGGAAGAGGCAGGAGATAGGACAATAAAAATAAGGATTGAGAAGCACTGGGTCTGAAACCAGTGGAAAATAATGAGAAGAAAGCGGGATAAAAAGAGTTGTAGACAAGCAGCAGGCTCACATTGCTCTGCCTAAGGAAGGACTGCTCCACTCTCGCCTGCCTGCTGTGTTCATCTGAGAATAGAGGTCAGTCTGAGTCAGACATCTGGCCACGGAGGTTCCATTCACCACTTACTCTCTAGATGCCAGTTACTTGCATTTTTGTCTGTAATAGTACAAATTTAAGATAGCAATATCCATGTTATCAAATACAGAGTAGTTTTAAGAAATTGCTGAATCTACTCCATTAAGCTAAAGGGCAGCTAAATATTTCCTACTAATCATTCTTTACAACTGTTCAGTTAGGAAGCACAGTGAACGTAGGGCAGTCCACAGTGATGATTTTACTTCCTTATTCCGGAGGCTGTAGATCAATGGGTTTAGCATAGGGGTGACCAGGTTACTCAAGACCTGAACAGTTGTATCCAACCAAGGGCTTGGCGTTGGCCTCAGATGAATGAAAATCACTGGCATGTAAAAGAGCAAGATGGCAGTGAGGTGGGCACTGCAGGTGGAGAAGGCTCTGTGTCGACCCTCAGTGGAGCGAATCTGTAGAATGGAGTAAACTATACAGCTGTAAGAGGTGAAGATAAAGAAGAAGCAAATGAGGGGCAGGAAACCCACACTGATGAATCCTACCATCTCCAGGGCTGATGTGTCTGCACAGGCTAATTTCATCACCACATGAATATCACAGAAATAATTGTCCACCTCTTTGGGGCCACAGTAGGGTAACTGGAAGGTGAGAGTAGTTAGAAATGTTGAATGAATACAACCAAAAACTGATGTACCCGTAGCCAGCAAGGCACATACTCTATGGCTCATGATGATTGAGTAGCGTAGAGGGTAGCATATGGCAACAAAGCGGTCATAGGCCATCACTGTGTATAGGAAACATTCAGTACCACCCAGGAAATGGTAGAAGAAGAGCTGGCACACACAGCCTTCATAGGAGATGACTCTGCTATTTCCTGAAAGGTAGAATAGCATCTTGGGAGAACTCACAGAAGGAAAAAATATGTCACACACAGACAGCTGGCAAAGAAAGAAGTACATGGGTGTGTGAAGTCGAGTGGAGGAGACGATTGCAAGGAGTATGAGTAAGTTCCCCACCAGGGTAAAGATGTAGAAAGACAAAAACAAGACAAAGAGAATGGTCTCCAGACCCTCTGTGTGTGGGATGCCAAGCAGGACAAACTGAGTCACTACTGAAAGGTTCTTCATAGCTTTAAGAATGTTTGACCTCACGAAGATTAAAAGTCAGCATTCCAGTCATCAGTATCAATTAAGAAGTTGTTTCTAATAAGAACTTTGAGTATGCTTTGGGAAGCAGCAAATTGCTTTATACTGACGTACATAAACAAGAATTCTATAAAGTACCAGCTACTCTAAACTCATATTTAAGAGATGGTGTACCCAGTTTTTAGAAGAGCTTCTTTGTAGATATAAATGATTGTCTTCTATTTCAAGAGAAGAAGTTAAATGACCTGGTCAAATACTCTCTCATTAGACACTGCTTTATATGACTTTATATTCTGAGAACATGTCTTCTGGATCTTGGTGGTATGTTTAAGTAAACTTCTGTCACTATTCATTGTCCTCTGAAAAGCAATAAAAATATTATATAGAAACTAGGCCATTTAATCCTGACTTTGCTTCTTCTTAACTATATTGAGATAATTTACATAATGTTTTTCATAGACACCTACAAAGTATAAGACATACATAGTCTAACTGCAATAATGTCAACATAATTGTGGTCTTATATGGTAATAAAATTTATAAATGGTCTGAAAGTTGCCAGCAAACTATTACTAAACTCTAATTAAGGTCTTCCTTAACTTCATGAAGCTACAACTTCTAGGAATGCTAGGAAAAATAACTGGGAAGAAAGGACCCTCCTTGTCAATGCTTCCCAAGCATCTTTTCAGGCATATGATCATCAATACATGTGTCTAAGATAATTAGCATGACCAGTGGTCTGTAACGCTGTGGTATATAACACCCTTCACAAATTGCATGCTTGATGGTCAGAAATTCTCTTTATAAATATTGAGTATGATGCCAGCCATGTATACACCAGATAAGAGGGACTGCCTCTGAGGCATAATCTCTCTTGTATTGAAGGTCAGCATGAATCCCAGTGATAACAAAAATGCGACATAGCTGAGGATGAAATATGGACTATAGATACCCCCAATACCACAAGAGTACTTGCTTTCAGATATCCATTGCTGATATACTTCAAAGATATGAGAGTCACAAAATTCAAAAGGAAAGGGATTTTAGACACAATATCAAAAAATTTCCAAGCTGTTTGTAACTCATTCCCATGAATTAGGCTTTAAATAAGAAGTAGATATGGCTTACAACTTACTGAAAAGTTAAAGACGAACCTATGGCAGGGTCTGTATATAGGCCACAATCTAAAGCATAAAACTGATAGCAGAAAATGTAAATACCTATTCCTTCTAAAAGATAAACTGACAACAATAAATACAGTCATTCCTTTCTAATGTATACACTTCCTGACTTCTGGGCCACACAAAATAGCTCAAGGATGACTACAAACGCAAACCAGAGAATATTAATGTGAAATGTTTCTCTCAGGTAATCCAAAATGATGAGTACTGCTTTCCTGGTCAAGTTCCATGTCACCCTGGGCAGAAGGAGATTTTGTACCTCCTATAATAAAAATTATAACGAAAGAAGGCCCTTAGCACCCAGTTCTTACTCTCCTGATGTACTCATCTTTCATTTTTATGGTTTCTTTTTCCTTTAATTCTCCTTTAATGAAAAGTGGAACTTTTTATTAACCCCTTTTAGATTCCCTTGTCCCAAATACTGACTCTCTCTCTTCTCTCTCTCTCTCTCTCTCTCTCTCTCTCTCTCTCTCTCTCTCTCTCTCTCTCTCTCTCTCTCTCTCTCATAAGTGGCCTTAAAGTTATCAATTTATCCTCTGTGTCCACTCCGATTTCCTTTTGTCAACGAGAGCAAGAACTTGTGAAGGGAACTCTATGCCCTCCACGGTACATAATTTAGTTCTTAAGCGTCTTCTGTTAACACTGGTTTTCTATACTTATTTGCAAACACTTTTTTTCTGCTAACTTGGGTCTTTGTTTTTTCAAGGAAAATAAAGCAATGCTAAAGAAGATCCCAGATAAATAATAGTGTAATGGTATTGACAAATTCAAATACAAAAGCTAATAGCTCTATTTAATACATATAATCTTTAAATACAAATAGAATCATGAGACACCCATGTTACTAATTTATTAAACCATTTTTTGTACAGCTGTTATACATCAGACACAATAGGGATCAACTCACCAGCAATTCAGGATCTCACTATGTAGTCCTGGGTTTCCTGACTTTTAAGTACATCAGTTTAGTCTAGGACTCACAGAGATCCTTCTGCTCTTGTCTCTTGAATGCTGAGATTAAAGGCAAACATAATTGTGTTCAAATCCTTATCAATTTTTATATGAAAATTATTGAATTTCTATCAGAGAGTAATTTGATAGAATGTATGGGATATTTTTCTGCCTTACTCCATATTCATTCCATTCAAAGGTCAAGCTTGGTAGCCAGTGTTGCCACTGTTAACAATATGCTTTTTTATTTCCTCCTTTATTTTTTAAGATTATAGTATAATTACATCATTTCTCCCTTTCCCCTTCCCCCTCCAAAACCTTCCCATACACCCCTCCTTGCTCTAATTTAAATTATTAGCAATCTTTTTATTATTGTTACATGAATATATGTATATACATCTATTTCCTAAATATAATTTGTCCAGTCTGTGTAACGTTACTTGTATGTGTTTTCAGAGCTGACTATTTTAGAAAACCTATTGTTGTGTTTTTTCCTGAGCAAGACTATTTCCACCTCTACAATCACTCCTTATTTAAATATATAAAATGATGAAGTGGACTCACATCACATCCTCCTTAGATTACATCACTGTGGACTTTAGAGTTGAGTGAGGTTTTCAGCTCTAGTAGAACATATGTACTAGTTCTTCTTGGCCTTTATCTGTTCTAAATTGAATTAGGGCAACTCAAGCATTAACCAAAATAAGGGTAAAAGCAAAGCACTTATAAAAGGTAAGCTATTGTATTGAGATGGACAATACAGTGACCTGGGTTAAATAAAGACAAAGAATTGAATTAAAGGAGTGAGTTATGTAAGTCTAAAGCAGAGTAGACACCTTAGGAACTAAGATCCTTTCCACTCACTACTCCATTAGTAATGACAGTAATAACAATGGTCATTGCACACACAAGACCATACCATCTGGTGGATATTCACCGTGTTTCAAGCACTGGAGATTCATTCATAAAACTTCATTCATCTTAAAAATATTTACCCATAAGTTGTTATTTCTATTGTAAGTTAGATCTGTAGATAGGAAGTTGACATTCAAACACACCAAGAAGAACTCATTTCCTGTTATTTTCCACATTTGTACTTCTACTCTTTAGTAAAATCTGTTCTCTCTTTGCCTCTCCTTCCTAAGAAAGCCTCTTGTATGGCTGGGAAATTAAGACGTTTCTGGAGGACTTCTATGGTCACTTTTTGCAAAAGTGAGGGAAGACTTCATATCTCATTTTCTCCCAGGCATTGCCAGCCTATTTGTTTGTAAATGTAGTGTGTGTGTGTGTGTGTGTGTGTGTGTGTGTGTGTGTGTGTGTGTCTATTTGCATGTCCATGCACATGCCATGGTGCCCGTGTGCTGGTCAAAGCAAAGGAAAATAGGGCAATTTATGAGACTCATTTCTCTTTCTCCACTTTATTGATTCCAGCAATTAAATCAGGTGATCAGGCAGGCACCTTTACTGGCTAAGCTATCTCCCCATTTCTCATTTTCAATATTGAATTTAGATTTTAATTGAAATTTTATTTCATTTTAGAAATAACACAACATACATTTTCTTCCTTTCACATATTCTTTCTTGACATCAGCTCCAACACAGGAACTTTTGATCTACACAGTGTCATTTCTCATAAAGATTCTAGACAGGCTGAGACCGGAGCTATTAAAAGAACATGACTAAAGATAGGGGCCAGGCTAACATGGGTGAAAACATTCCACTAAGGAAAATTTAGAATGTAAAAACAAACACAGTAACATTCTGAGGAGCGGACTGAAGGCACTTACTTTTCACAAATGCTATTATTATCTGAACAGCCTCAATACCAGTGAGCCTTCCACATCCTCCCATAGTTATGCAAAGGCCTTGCAAGGTTCTGGTCTTTGTTCATGCTCTGATGTCATGAGATTCTGTGATTCCACAGTCTCACTGGCTTTTCTTTTTGATTTCAGAAAAATGCATTCCCCGAGGATCAGGAAGTCCTCGGTGTTGCCTGTTAGTGTGAGAAGCAAACACTGATAGTCAGACCTTGAGAAAAGTTCAAGTACTCGTTCTGTAGACCTGGAAACAGGACCCCAGTTTTCCAAAGTGTAATAGCTAGAACTTGCACTTCCCTTTCACAATAAGAACAGTGAGCTCCAGTCAAGGAGCTTCCATGCCTACTTAGAATCATGTCTCATGAGGCCTATGTAATCACTATCAGAATACCCTCTCCCTGGATTGTTAGCTCAAAGTGTTTCGAAAAACCTCTTAGGCCCTGCTTGGAGTTCAGAAATAGCTCTGAGGGAACAATTAATTTGGCAACTCTAGTCATCATCCAAACATGAAATTATGGTGAGGATGTCATGGTAAACAGATTCTCCAGTATTATTTGCACAGTAGAAAATACTTCAGTTCTTATAGTATTAGTTCATGTGAAATGCTGTCCCTCCATTTGATTGTTTTCTGTATTATTAAGACTCAGCTACATCAGTTATCCATCATTTTAAAAATTACCCATACATGTCAAAAGTTAAAGAATAAAGGAAATCTAGATACCAAGATAACAAATAACCCAATTTAAAAATGGGGTAGAGATATAAACAGAGAATTCTCAACCTAAGAAACTCAAATGGCCAAAGGATATTTAAAGAATTGTTCAACATCCTTAACCATAAGGGAAATGCAAACCCAAATGATTCCAAGATGCCAGCTTACTCTTATCAGAATGGCTAAGAACAAAAACTGATGACAGCTTATGCTGGAGAGGATATGGAGAAAGGGGAACACTCCTCCATTGTTGGTGGGAGTGTAAACCTTGAGAGCCACTTTGGTAATCAGTATGGTGGTGTCTCAGAAAATTGTGAATCA